GATGGCCTGCAGAATGTCTTGGATGGACTTGATGGCTGAGAGGAGCAAGTTGCAGTTGTCCCGGATGGTGCCCTTCATGTTCATCTTAATGGGGTGCAACTTGCAATGACAGTGTTCGTTTAAGGCTCCAATCAGCTCGTTGGTGGTATCAAAATTGAGCTCTATGCAGTTGATCAGCTCCTGGTGTAACCGCACCACCGTCTCCCGCCGCTCTGGGTTGCCAGGGTACAGGATATCGCTCCAGGACATTCTTGAGAGAGCTGCCAGGACAGGAAGAAGACGGAGGCGTTAGCCAGCGCTCCCCACTGCGCCCCCCCCCCCCCCAATCACAGACTTAACTAGTGCAGAGACTCAGCTGCCATTACAACAAAAAAGTCTCCAGGGCTCCGATCCCCAAAGGTCTTTAGGTGCCTAATTCCCCGTCAACCCGTGGGAGTTCTGCGCCTAAACACCTTGGAGGTTCTAGGGCAGAAGGACTTGGCCAGTGGGCCCCCGCCCCGAAAAGCTCCCCATCTTACCAAACCACGTGGCCTTAGGAGGAAAGTGCAGCGAGGAGCCAGCCAGAGCCTCGGCTGCGAGAGGGAGAATCTGCCCAAGTAAGTTTGGGACTCTCAGCCCCACTCCCCAACAGAGCCTAAATTGCCAGAGATCCCCCTCACCTCAGCAGTGTCCCAGCTACTGCCCCAGACACCCTCAATTCTCCTCCTGCACGTTACCTCCCCACATTCCCCAGACCTCTGTCCCAGCCCCCCGCCACCCCCAACACCTCCCAGCACCCCGAGTCCATCCACCCCAGAAGCGCGGCAGCATGCCCCATCTACCCGGCCACCCCCTGCCCCAGCCATGGAGTTTCCCAGTTCTTGGCAGTTGCATGACTTGCTCCCTCCCCTCTGCTGCCCGGGGTACCCGGCCGTGGGTCAGAAGCTGCAGTTTCTGGTTGTCTGCAAATTAGCCCATGAAGTAATTTGCACAAAATGCCAGGGCTGGAGCTGTGCGCAGCTGGGCAGCTTCAAGGGGCACCTGGGAATAGTTTCATTTTTCACCTCCTCCCCAGAGCTGGGTGCAGTCTCCAGTCAGGGTCTCTCGGCTATCTGGAGGGGATCCCACCTCCTGGCTCCTACTCGCTATTCACCAGTTTCCCCAGCCCAGGGTGGCTGTTGCCTGCCTAGCCACAGCATCCTCTGGGGGGCTCACAGGAGGCTGGAACCACCAGGACACCTGGGTCCTTCCTAGAGTTGCAGCTCACCAGGGTCCCCCCTTGGAAAGCACAACTCCCCGCCCCATCGGTTACAGTCGGGACACCCCCCCCTCCAACAGCCTGTGGGGGACTGGCACCTTGCCAGGGGCTGCATGAAACCCCCATTGTTAGAAGGGGCTCAGTTCACCTAGCGATCCGGGGGGCTCTCAGGGCACTACCCCTGCTCCCATGCGTGTCTCCTCTGCCCTGTCCGGTGGGGCGAGTTACCTGCCCGCTGGGCGCCTGGGAAGTTGACGAGCCGTTCGCCTGGGCAGATCAACTCAGCTCCGCGGGCAGCAGCCTGGGCTCTCCAGAGAGGATCCCTTCGCTGTGATGCTGCAGCTCCCCGGCCGCTCTGTGCACAGCGGAGCAGGGACTCTCACCTTTATAGGAGAGCGGATCCTTGCTTTCACTTTCCCAGTCAGCCTCCCCACATTCCCGGAGCCCAGCTATGGTCAGGAGCACGCTGCTAGCAGACGTCACATTGTCCTTAAAGGGGCTGCTACTGGGGCTCAGCTGGTTGCTTAGTGCCTTCTGATTTTCAGTTCCCCATGTGGTTTCCAGGAAGCCGAGTCTGGCTGGTTTCCAAGTCCTGATTTTCTTCTCAGTCACCAGGGGCGGAAAGATCCAGGATTTAATCAATCCATGAGCCAGCGAGCCCCAGGCAGTCCCTGGCTGCAAGCGCCTGCAGTTGGCCTTGGCCGGGGGAATTGCTTCCACCAGCGCAACTCGGAGTCCATCCATCCTCCCTGGAGGGAGGCCCCAGGCTTCTCCCATCGCAGAACTGGACAGTGCAGGGAGAGAGGTGAAAGGGGGCAGACTCAGAGTCAGGACTCCTGGGTTCCATCATCCGCTCGGGAAGGGGAGTGGGGTCAAGGGCTTAGAGCAGGGAGGCTGGGAGTCAGGACTTCCCAGGTCACGGCATGACTGTAGGGAAGTCACCTTCACCTCTCTCTGACTCCCTGCAGCCCTGATTTGGGAGCGGAGCTAGAGCTCCCTTAACTCCACCCCTTTGTAGATTTCAGGCCTGTGACAGGTTCCTGGGGGTGCAAACTGCGCTATGGGGCCACTGAGCCCTTCAAAGTCACCAGCCTGGGCTGCCTCTCACCCTGGGATGCTGATGTCAAACTACAACCCCCTGACAGGGGCTGCAGTTGCAGAGCATCCACAGGCCCCGGGGACACACCCGGCTGGGATCCATGAATGGTCTCCCAGCCACTCGTGAACCAACAACAGGGAGGCTCCAGCCAATTGCCCCCAGCTCCAGCCCTACACCCCAGAACTGTACCATCTTACACTGCTCAAGGCCCCCTTGGGTAATGCCGGCTCCTTAAGTAGTTCACCACTACCTCAGGGTGGACTGGGCACATACCAACCTTTGTAAATTGAGCTGAGATTTCCCAAGCACTTAAATCAAAACGCACTGATTTAGGTAAAATACAAAACGGATTTATTAACTACAGAAAGATCGATTTTAAATGATGATAAGTGGTAGGTAAAAGGTCAGAGGGTGTTACCTTAAGAAAATAAAAGGTAAACACCCATTCGAAATCCTAAACTTTTAATCTAAGTAAGAGTTAAATCAAGGACTGTCTCACCCTTGCAGATGGTCCAAGCAGGTGACAGTTCCTCAGTACACAGACTGGGACTCACTTCCAGCCTGGAACCAATCTCCCTAGTTCCAAGTCTTTGTCTTACCCAGACAATCTTCCCTGTGTTGAGATTGGGGGGTGGGGGGCAAGTGATGATGTCACTCTCCCTCTTTTATACCTTCTCCAAGATGCTAGAAAGAGCCTTGCTGTAATATGGAGGTCAGGGAATCCCCATTGGTCAATCAGTTTCCATTGCCTACGTGTCTCTTTCAAGGAGTCTCTTGGATAGTGGGTTGGGTGTTGATGAGCCCTTAATGACCATCTACCTATTGACGGCTACTCCTTCTCTTGCCACTAAAAGGCTAGTTGTGGGTGTTCCCAACCTCACAATGTATGTCAGTAACACACACATAGCAATACTTCATAGCTCCCCATACAAGGCTAGCACATACAACCCAAAAGGATATTAATGTTCAACAGATCAAGGCTTTTACAATGATACCTCACAAGGCAGACTTTGTACACAACATACCTGGAGTGAGGCAGCGTGGCCTCCCTCCAAACTGGAGCGTGAGGGACAACTACATTCCCCCTGGTGGGTGGAGCTAAATGTGCCCCACCTTCCTCAGTCCCGGGGCGGGACGGGAAATATTAAAGGAGAACTGGGGAGCTTGGTGCTGAAGCTATGAGGGTTTTGGGCTGGGACCTGGTAGAGTAGGGTGGGCCTGGGTTCCTCTACCCCTCTGCCACTGACCTCACCCCTGGGGTGATGGCTGAACCCCCACCTTTTGGCCCAAAGGCCAGTGCTGTCTTGTTGGCTTACACCAGCCAGAAGGCTGTGGGCTAAAGACTGTTTGTGGCTGTGTCCTGCCCCGAGTGCCAGAGTTTCCCCATAGACTACTGATTATTGTCTGCCTGTAGTGAGGCCCAGCAGCCTCCCTCCCCACACAAGAGTGAGGAACCACTACAATATCAAAATTATATGACAGTGGTGAATATGGGGGTTCCATGGTGCTACTTTGAGGTACAGAGTGTCATAAAGCCCATATCTGAGGGTTGAAGCTAGAGGAGAGTTTTTGAGAGATGCCCAATCTCAATGGAAAGACTCAGAGGGATGGAGACTCTGCCCCATTGCTGGGGTACTCATTCCCAGGGTTAATTCCCCTCTCGGGAGAAAATCTGCCCCTTATTTCCAGTCTGAATTTGTCTGACTTCATCCCGCAGCTGTGGGCTCGGGCTCTGCCCTTGTCTGCTAGGTTAAACAGCCTCTGCTCGCTCCCCAAAACCTCCTCCCCACAGACATATTGATCGTCAGGAATCTCGTCCCATCTGCACCTTCTCTGGGAGAAACTCAGTAGATCGGGCTCCTTCAGTCTCTGGCTCTCAGGAAGGTTTTCCAGCCCCCATCGCTCTTCTCTGAGCCCTCCCAGTTTCCTGATGTCCTGTTTGCCATTTGCCCCCCCTCCCCCGATCTCCCTTTCTCGGGGTGGCACTTGCCTGGAGCAGGGGGATGTGAGGAATAGGCATATCCCAAGGTGAGGAAGATGCTAATTCCCCAACCAGGGGTGTTGGCCACTGTCCAGAATAACCAGGGTGGCAATAAAGGCCCCTCACCCTCCTCTCCTGTCCTGCAGGCCGGCCTTTGCTGGGAATAAGGGGCTGGGGACAACCCTCCTCGCCCTGACCTTCCCCCTCTGCCGCTGAGGACGCCCCGAGGGTAGCCCCAGGAGTGCAACCGCCAGCCACTGCAAAGCACATTGGCCAAACCGGGGGGAGCACGGTGCTGTCCCTTGGCCGCACGACCCACTGGTGGGGCTACTGGTGGAGACAAGGGCCGGCTTTCTGAAGGGATTCAGGGGCGGGGGGTGGGGGTGATGGGATTGTTCATAAGCACCTAACTCCTCACTGCAGAAACCCAGGTTCCTGACTGCTGGGGGGGGCCACTGACCCCGGGGACCCCCACTCCAGCTGCCTCCTGCTCGGGGGGGGGGGTAGGGGCGGAGCGGGATCTCCCGGCTAGCAGGAGGCTGCTGGAAGATGGAAAAGCTGAGGACCGCTAAGGCAGCCAATCGCTGGATGGGGGTGTTGGGTTGGGGGGGTGCTGGGTTGTTGTGGGGGGGCCTGCTGGCTTCCAGTTCCCCACGTGGTTTCCAGGAAACCGCGTCTGGCTGGTTTCCAAGTCCTGGTTTCGCCTCAGTCACGGGGTGGGGGAGTAGGGGGGGCTCCAGGAGATAAATCAGGTCTGGAGCCAGCGAGCCCGGGCTGCTTGGGCCAACTTTCACTTTCCGGCCGAGCGGGAGCTTTATAAGGAGAGCCGGAGAGCGGGGCGCAAACCGCTCCTCCGCCTGCCGGGCCAGCAGACGCGCCGCGCCGCTACAGGTGAGAGCCCCCGGCCCCTTTCTGGGGTCCCCCAGTTCGGAGCCGGCAGCGGAGGGCCGGCACCCCCCCCAACACCCCCTCTCCCGGCTCGGAGCCGGATGCGGAGGGCCGGCGCCCCCCCCCCCAACACCCCCTCTCCTGGCTCGGAGCCGGATGCGGAGGGCCGGCGCCCCCCCCCCAACACCCCCTCTCCTGGCTCGGAGCCGGATGCGGAGGGCCGGCGCCCCCCCCCCCAACGCCCCCTCCCCCAGGCTGGGAGCCGGATGCGGAGGGCCGGCGCCCCCCCCCCCCCCCCGGTCGGAGCCCCCCCAACACCCCCTCCCCAGGCTGGGAGCCGGTGCGGAGGGCCGGCGCCCCCAACCCCCCTCCCCCAGCCCGGCTCGGAGCCGGATGCGGAGGGCCCCCCCCCCCCCCCCCCCAGGTGGGACGGCGCGAGGGCCCCGCCCCCAACGCCCCCTCCCCCAGGCTGGGAGCCGGCTGCGGAGGGCCGGCGCCCCCCCCCCCCAACGCCCCCTCCCCCAGGCTGGGAGCCGGCTGCGGAGGGCCGGCGCCCCCCCCCCCAACGCCCCCTCCCCCAGGCTGGGAGCCGGCTGCGGAGGGCCGGCGCCCCCCCCCCCCCCCCCCCCCCCCCGGCCCCCGGCCGGGGGGCGGCCCCCCCCCCCCCCCCCCCCCCCCCCCCCGGCGCGGGCCCCCCCCCAACACCCCTCCCCGAGGCTGGGAGCCGGCTGCGGAGGGCCGGCGCCCCCCCCCCCCAACGCCCCCTCCCCAGGCTGGGGCCCCCCCCCCCCCCCAGGCTGGGAGCCGGCTGCGGAGGGCCGGCGCGGGGCGCCCCCCCAGGCCCCCCCCCAACGCCCCCTCCCCCAGGCTGGGAGCCGCTGCGGAGGGCCGGCGCCCCCCCCCAACGCCCCCTCCCCCCAACGCCCCCTCCCCCAGGCTCGGAGCCGGCTGCGGAGGGCCGGAACCCCCCCCTCCGCCCCCTCCCCCTGGGTGCAGTGGAGGCCCTTGCGGGTATGTCTGCACTGCAATTAAACACCCGCGGCTGGCCTGCCGGGCTGCAAACTCGCCGTGTAGACGTGCAGGCTTGGACTGGAGCCCGAGTGCGGGGACTGTGCCTAGGCGGACAGGTCCCAGGGCCCGGGCTCCAGCCTGGCCCAGATGTCTACACAGCAATTTTTAGCCCCCCAGCCTGAGTCAGACCAGACACCGGCCGTTCCACGGGGCTTTTATTTCAGTATCGAGGTACCAGAGACTCCCCTGTCGTTTCCACACGCCCTCCCCGGGCTTCACCCCAATGGCCCGCGGCCTCCGGTTCGCAGCGTCGCTCTCTCGGGGCCCACGTCAGCCGCAAAGTGGGTAACTCACTGACAGGCTTTGCACCCCCCCTCTAGCCCAGCAGTGCCCCTGTACCTCACCATCACTACCGCTGGCCTCTGCCGGGTGGGGCAGTCACCCTGGGAAGGAGGGACAGCCAGGTTTCTTTAATTGAACGCACTCTTAGATTTTTGTTTTTTTTTAAAAATAAATGTAGTCCAGAGAGACCCATCCATGAGATTCCCAATTCTTAGTCAAGAGCGAGAGACCGTCCCTGCCCTAGCTGAGATCAGGGCCCTGTTGTGCCAGGCGCTGCCCAGACACACAGCGAGAGACCGGCCCTACCCCAGCTGAGATCAGGGCCCCCTCGTGCCGGCTGCTGCCCAGACACAGTGAGAGACTGGCCCTGCTCTGAATGGGTCGCAGTCCAGACAAGATAGACAAAGGCCAGGCAGGTCAGCAGAGAAAGGAAGGGGTTTCCCCAATGTCCATGTGTTAGAACTGGCAAGAGAACCCAGCCGCTCTGACTCCTAGCCCAGTGCCGGACCCACTGGACTCCTGGTATAGTGGGGCCTGCTCCAGCTCCTTCCCTGGCTCTGGGCAGCCCCTTGCTGCCTGAGGTTAAGGAAAACACATGAGAAGGCTGAAAACCAGGAGATTTTAAGAAAGAATCCAGGTGGGGCTGGGCCTAGTGGTTCTTGGTGTCTGGGCTTCCTGGGGCTGCCCTGCCCTGCGGTTTTCCACACCGGGGCAGGGGCCACAAGCCGGGGTAACTGGGAGTTCCCCATCCCCCTGGGACTCCAGGCACTGGGGACAGAAGACAGAACTGTCACAACAAAGATACAAGAGGCTCCCCCCATCACCAAACTCAGCCTGCGCAGCTGTCAGCTTAAAGGGATTTTGGCTCCTCCTTTCTGGTGATTCCAAAGGGAGTTAGGAGCCGAAATACCTCTGAAGGTCAGGACCCTTCTTTCCATGGCGAAGATGACGCTGCTGGGTGCTTTGGGAATCGGCCCCCAGCGTTTTCGAGTGGCGGAAAACATCTCGCTGTGGCAAGTTTGTGGTGCTTTGTTCTTTCCTCTCTTGTGCTGAAACTTGCTCAAAACATGCCTGAGCTGGAGATCCAAAAACCACTGGCTTTCTTGTGAGGTCTTGGGCCTTCCTGGCTTTGTCTGGGCACTTTCAGTGCGTTGAAATCAGGAAGAGCAGTTGGGCGACATTTTATTTTGCGCAACTAGGATTGTCGGACTGGTCAGACTGGCTCAGCCCAGAGGCCCTTTGACTGTGTCCTGTCTCTGATAGTGATGGTACCAGATGCTTCAGAGAACCCCACAGTAGCAGGTTAGAGAGATTCTGACAGCAGGGACAGTTCCTGCCTGACAGCCGTTAGAGGTGGGGTCATGCCCTGGAGCATGAGACTGTTCAATCTTATCAAACTTAACAAAAAAATTTATTTTCTAATGTCATTCTGGCTCTCCTCATTAGCCATATCAATGTCAGATCCCTTTCTGGGTCTTGCTGGGCTCTTGGCATCAGCGAGATCATGAGGCAGTGAGTTCTACAGGCAAATCCCAGGGTTGTTGTGAAACAGCATTCCTTCTACTCCATTTCACAGGGGCTCCCTATCGGTTCCATCACACATCCCCTTGTCCTTGCGCTGGGGATCCTGGAAACTCTTTCACCCCCTCACCGGCGTTCTCTGCTTTGTTTCCCAGCCCCGCGATGCTCTCCCTGTTCTCCGGCACAGAGAGCGAAAGGGAGAGGCTCGTGCGCGCCAGCCAGTCGCTGCTCGACTCCCTGCAAGGATGCATCTCGGCCACCCGCATGCTGCTCCGCATCCTCACCCAGCACCTTGACACCAGCGTGTCCCTGGAACCGGTGGGGGGCGACGTCGACGTGGGGGAGAACCTGGAGCACCTGCTGCGGGCAGCGCAGGAGATGCACGCCACGGCGGAGCAGACGGACAGACACGTGCAGAAGAACACCAGCCGGGACCTGTACGCCCGCATGGCCTCCCCCCACACCTCGCTGCAGGAGAAGGGGGCCATCGTCCGGGACTTCCACCAGGCCACCCTGGGGATCTTCGGCAGTGTGGGTGGCCCCGTGGTGGCCGTGCTGCTGCGGAACGCCGGCCTCCCCGAGCGGCTGGAGGCGGCTCTGCGGGAGGCGGAGGCCTCCCCGGTGCTGCGCCTGCCGATGGACGCCCTGCGCCGGAGCAGTGAGGAGATCGCCAGGGCTGTGTCTGCTTGTGTCGCCCCTGGGGGCCCAGCTGGGGAAACGGCTGCAGGGCCCCCCGAGAACGGCCCCTTCTCCGGGACTGGCGTGATGCAGAGCCTGGGCGACTACCTGCCTGACGCCCTCACAGGGCGCCGGGCTAGGAATGCCCTGGCAGCAGCCGCCGGGCACCTGGAAGAGGCGCTCCGGGCTCTATCACCGGCCTGCAAGTCTTTCCAGTTGGCGGCTGCCGCAGCTGAGGTCTACATGGCCCTGATCACGGAGCAGCAGCCGGGAACGGGAGAGGGCCCGGGCCAGAATCCTCCCGGCGTCGCCCATTGACCTGTGCAGGCAAAGCCATGACAGCGCCCCCCTCACCATGGCACACGCACCGGCAGGCTCTGCCCTGGGCTCTGCGCTGGTTAACGAGCCCGGCACAGCCCAGCATGTGGGGCTGGCAGCCGGGAACCACAGCAAATAAAGGGACCTGAGCAAAACCGTGGGCCTGAGTCTTAGTGGTTTGTCCCGGCTGGCGTGCTGGCCCACCCGCCTTCGAACCAGACTCCCCTCCCGGCCCCTGGTGTAAATCAGGAATGACTCGTGGGGGGCAAGTCTCCTCTCTGATGTAAATCAGGAGTAACTCCATGAGTGTCAAGGGGCTGATTCCCCCTCCCTCTGGTGTAAAGCAGGAAGAACTCCCTTGGACTCAATGGGGATGATTCCACCTCACTCACCCTGGTGTAAATCTGGAGTAACTCCAGGGGGTCAATAGGGCCAATTCCCCTTGTGTGATGTAAATCCAGAGTCACTCCGTGTGTGTCAAGATGCCATTTCCCCCCACGGTTTAAGTCAGCAGTAACTCCACTGGAGTCAATGGGCCCGATTCCCCCTCACTCACCCTGGTGTAAATCAGGAGTAATGCAAAAATGCCATTTTCGAAAACGATTTTTGGGTTCCACTAAAACAAAAACATTCGAGGTTTTGGTTAGAAATCGGGAAGAAAGGCAGCGAATATTCTCCTGCCACGTTCAAAATACGGAAACCTGCTGGGTTTTAACCGGAAAACAAAAACCTGAGCCACAAATATTCCGATTCCTGCTTTTCCCGCCTCTTTTTTTTTTTTTTTTTGGTGGGGGGAGGGGCAGTGAAAAAACAAAAAAAAACAGAAAGAAAAACAAGTCTGGAGGGGAGGGGGTGGGTTGAAAGTTGGTGATTTGGGGCTTTTTAAAACTTCCCTTTTTTTTAAACAAATGAAAAAAGTTTGAAAACTCTCACCTGACTTTTCTTTTTTACGTCGAAAAGGACCCCTTGGTCCCAGTTTCGGGTCCCGTTTTCTCCCAGGTTTTCCAAACCACCTCGGTTCCCGTGCAAACGGGGAGCCCGGACATCTGGACATCAGGGGCTTGGTGTCAGCCAGGCAACTAAACCTCCCCCTCCCGCAAAACAAGTGTCCTGTTGTTCACACTCCCTCCCTGGTCCCCGTCCTGCCAAGCACAAACACGACCTGCCAACGGCCCCGTTGAACCAACCCCCGCAATGGGCTCTCCAGAGACCCCAGCTCCCCGTGTCAGGTGGGGGGTCCTGGGGCTCGAGAGTGGGTCCCGGGTCCTGGCTCCCCACCTCTGCACAAACCCAACTCTCCCTCCTCAGGGGGCAGGGTGGACTCCTGGCTCCCCTGCCCCATTACCATAGCACTGCATGGGCCTAACACAGGCCAAGCCCCGCTCGAGTCCTCCAATGGGGGTTACACAGACCCCTCCCGCCCCTTGGCTTGACTCACAACGACTCTTCCCCACCAACGCAGCCCCCCACCTTGCCTTGCACTCCATGCGCTGGCAACTCGCACTTCTGGGCCCGTTCTGTGGTTTCAGCCCCAGGCCAGGCGTTTACATGGCATCCGCTTCAAGCAGCTCCTGGTTCGGGTGCCCATTGCCCTCGCTCCGGGCTCCAGCCTTCTGCCCCCACTTCTGCCAGCATTTCCTCCCCAAATCTCCCGCGCTGCCCCCGTCCCACTCCCCAAATCTCCCGCGCTGCCCCCCGTCCCACTCCCCAAATCTCCCGCGCTGCCCCCCTCCCCAAATTTCCCTCGCTGCCCCTGTCCCGCTCCCCAAATCTCCTCCTCTCCCCTTGTCCCGCTCCCCAAATCTCCCAGGCTGCCCTGTAGCCAGACAGCCAGCCCCTCCCCCCCAGACCAGCATTGCTGGAAACACAGGAGGAAGCAGGAACAGGGCACTTAACATATATTCCAGCACAGCCTTTGAAGCACAGGTGTGCTGCTACAATGTGCCTCTGGGAACAGATACGACAATTAAGCTCACAGCAGGCAGAGGCCCTGTGACAGACATGGCTCTTAGCCCCTACTAAGTAGCGTGATGCACACACACCAACATCCTAGGTGGGAAAATATTTACCCTGATAAAAGAAATGTCCAGTAGTCGAAACTTATTGTTTCTCTCCCTTGCAAGTGTAAACTACTCTTGCAAAAGCTGGCGTCACCCCGACAGACCAGCCTCAATTTGGCATAAGAAAGGAGAAAGAGAATAAAGGAGTACAGAGGTATAAGTAGGGGACCTACAGCACCATGATTTTTGAGTGCTTTTCACTATCTATCTGCTGGTCAGATAAGTGACAGCCTCCCAAGGCTTCTGCAGCTAAGAGGGTCCCTACGCCTTGTCCCTTATTCGTCTTTCCGCAGAATTGAGTGACCGATCCTGGCCTGGCACCGCTGGAATCGAGAGATGCAAGGAGGGTAAGAAGCACCCACACCTGATCTCCTATCTTTAGTGTACACATATTTTGAAATAGAGCTCTATACTTCGTTTTCTTTCTTTGGGATTGTGGCTTCAGTTTTGTAACTTGTTTGTGTGTGTAACATCTCTACATTTAAATAAGTAGGCCCTAGCAATTTTGTAACCACATGATTAGAATCTAGCTTAATAAATTTGGTAACCATTTATGCATAAGCCTGACTTGTTTTCTCTGGTTTACTGTAAAGCAGCCAACACAATTAAAGAACCTCAGCCGTTTTGGCTCTAAAGCCTGGCCATTAGGTGAGAGTACTAAGAGCCTAGCGTTGAGTTGTGCCGCCTCCACGGGGCAAACTCTTGGGGCACCTGTCAGTCAATCCTGGCTGCCCGCTGCGAAGGAGCTCTGAGCTCTAGCAGTTAAAGTCACGGGTGTGGAGAGGCTCTTAGTGCTGCCATTGGGGCACCTGTCAGTCAGTATTGACTGCCCGCTGCGAAGGAGCTCTGAGCTCTAGCAGTTAAAGTCACGGGTGGTTAGGACCTTGGGGCATCCGTCAGCCTAGCCCGGGCTGCCCGCCGCGAAGGGACAGTGCGTCCTAGCGGTTAAAGTCACGGATGGTATAAACGGGCATAGCTGGCACCTCACCAAACATCCTTGGCCGTCGGCTAACAGAAATTGGCGTCACGAACAGGATTGTGATATAGGCTGCAGTACAGTAACACAATGAAACCAGTCATGATAAACACCACAGAATTCCCTGAGCTAGAGAAAAGTTTGACCCAAGAGGGATGGGGAAATCCTCTGTGGAGCAAAGAACTGCTGGAGAAATATTGGGGAAAACCAGCAGAGATCTGGCAGCATTTCTGTAACTGGAGAACTGCCTGCAAGATGAAGAAAGGGAAAGGAAAAGGTGCTTGTATATGGCTGCTTACTAACATTTGGCAAGCTGCCTGTAAGGATTATCATAGTCTGGCAATAGAATTTAATAGGCTACAACAGGAAAGGGACACACTGCGCAAGGAATGCCAGAATTTAGATACCAGAGTAAGAACACTGAATAGGGATATGGAACATCTTCAGAAAAGATTACTTCCCTTAATTGAGAAAGAAGGGATAGAACAAAGGGAAAAGCTGGAGACTAAAACACGCAGTATCAACCGGGCTAAAGTTGAGACTGCTCTCTGGCTAGACCCTGAGGAATGGGATGGAGACATTTGGGATTCAGCAGATGAGTCCCCCTCCTCTGAGGAGGAAGGTCCCTCTGTAAAATTAAGACTAGCTATCACACATCACAAATCAGAAGAACATGAGGAAAATTTGAGTGGGGCAGAGCTGGATGAAGAAGGGGATGACAATTATCCATCCACCTCTTCAAAAACAAAGAAGGGAGGTAAAAAGGGAAAAGGGAGTAAAGCTCCAACACACTTTACCAAAATTACCACCCGCCAATATACTCCCATGGAGTTAAAAACAATCCAGGGAGATTTTGCTAAAAAGCCTGAGGAAGGTATAATAGAGTGGCTGGTCTGCCTCTGGGACACTGGGGGTGGATATATACGCCTGACAGCCCAAGAAACTGAGCGCCTTAACTTAGGTGCAGGAATATTCCTGGAACATTCAGAGGGGAACACCCTGTCACGGAGTCCCTGGGCGATGCTCTGGAACTGCTCCCCATGAAGCCAGTCAGGACTCTGGGGCAGTCGCCTTTCTGTGAGCAGCCTGTCTTCAGGACACACAGCTCACACAGCTTCCACCTTCCTGGGTCTGACCTCGGAGCATTCAGCATCCTCTGCCCCTCCGTGCGCTTCCCCCCAGCGAGTCCGCTCAGGCGGGGCTCCTGGGGAAGCCAGAGGGTCCTGCCCCCCAACTTCGCAGTCAGACGTGACTCTCAGCCAGCCAGTAAAACAGAAGGTTTATTAGACGACAGGAACATGGTCTAAAACAGAGCTTGCAGGTGCAGAGAACGGGACCCCTCAGCTGGGTCCATTTTGGGGGGTAGTGAGCCAGACAACCACGTCTGCACTTCACTCCATGTCCCAGCCAGCCCCAAACTGAAAACCCCCTCCAGCCCCTCCTCCTCTGGGCTTTGTTCCTTTCCCGGGCCAGGTGGTCACCTGATTCCTTTGTTCTCCAACCCTTTAGCTCTCACCTTGCAGGGGGGAAGGGCCCAGGCCATCAGTTGCCAGGAAACAGGGTGTCGGCCATTCTCTGTGTCCAGACTCCTGCACACACCTGCCCTCTAGGGCTCTGCAATGATCATACACCCTTACCCCACCCCCTAGATACTTAAGAACTGCCTAGGGGAAACTGAGGCACCCCCACACTATTCAGAGGAAACATTAAGAACAGTCCCACTTCGTCACACACCCCTAAAACACTTTGGTCTCTGGCTTGTCGATGGGCAAGAGGAATTTACCCAGCAGACCGAGATGAACCCACAGTAATGCACTGGACCAACATAGATGAGGTAAAAACAGCTCTATTAACTGTGGCTGTCATTAGCATGCTTGGCCAAAACCCTCAAGGGTTAGCCTATGAAAGCCCATGGGAGGGTGAGGTAGATGTAGATGATCTCAGACCCCTGCTTAAGGGAGTTCCGAGTAACCACAGGGCTATGGCACTGTCCCTTAGATCAGAAGCTGCAGCACATAACCGTACCTTTCGGGCACTGCTAAACCTTCTGGTGTCATACTTTAGAGAATTCGGAGACATCAGAGCACTGACAGGCAAAGCTAAGATGCGTTCCCTTCAGGGAAACAAGGGGGCACCATCTAAAGGACATAAAAACAAGCGAGAGCCAACCCAGGAGGAAAAGGAGCTTAGAGCCAAGTTGTGGAGACAATGTCTGGCTTTAGGTTATCCCAGAGATGTGATAAATGGACTGCCCACAGAGCGGCTAAAATTATTCACCACCTTTAAAAGAGCTGACTGGGAGACAACTAATGCTACTCCCAGTGCACCTCTGCAGCTCTCTCCTCTTTCCCCACCTGCAGACACCCTGTATACTCCATTGCTGCAGCAACTGCAAGAGTTACCAGAGCAGGGAAACTAGCTTGCGGGGGTCAATCTCCTCTCCTAATAAACCAGCTTAAATCCAAAGAGGAGAAAACAACAGCAAAAGACCCCCGGATACATGTAACTGTAAATGACAAACACATTATTCCTTTCTTAATGGACACAGGGGCTCAAAGGTCCATGATTAAGCGAGAAAGTTTTCAGGGCTCGCCACCTACTGGCCGAAAGCAGATACTTGTTACAGGGGTAAATGGCAGTACCATAACTTACCCATTAGTTAAGATAAAACTGGATATCCCATTGCAACCCCACCATCAGCCCCGAAAATATGAGGTGATTTTGGGCAATGCCAACATACTGGGCATGGATGTTTTAAGAGGAAAGAAGGGAAGGATTAATGGGGAAAGATGGGCTTTTGGAGTCAGTTCTGTTCCTCATGCCACCCACCTGGAAGAGGAAAGCCCTCCCCACTATTCTGTAAACTTACTTAGCAGCGCGCCTGCTCTCCCGCTCTCAACAGTAACAAACATAAAGCAGTATAATGTCCCAGCTGAGGCCATAAGCCCTGTTACTGACCTGATCAAAGATTTGGAACAGCGAGGAATTTTAATTCGTACCCACTCTCGCTTTAATTCTCCTGTGTGGCCCATCAAGAAACCAAATGGCAAATGGAGACTCACTATAGACTATAGGAAGCTAAACAGTAACACTGGACCATTAACTGCAGCAGTCCCTAGCATAACAGATATTGTAAACACCATACAAACCTGGGATAAACCCTGGCTAGCAGTATTAGATGTAAAGGACATGTTCTTCATGGTCCCTTTGCAACCAGCTGACCAGGAAAGATTTGCTTTTACTTGGAAAGGTGTACAATACACTTTTACCCGAATGCCACAAGGGTTTAAACACTCACCCACTATTTGCCATGGGGCACTGGCAAAGGTCCTAGATGACCTTATCCTGCCACCCAATGTACAAACTGTGCAATACATTGATGACATCTTAATAGGTGGGAAAACCCCAGAAGAGGTACAGGAGGCTATGAATCAAATCAAAGGAGCACTAGAAGCCCTTAATTTAGAGTTACCAGCTGAGAAATGCCAAGGTCCCTCCCAAGAGATAAAATTCTTAGGTACTGTATGGATGGGAGGTAGGAGGTCTGTGCCTAATGACACTGTGCAAGAGCTAAATCAGGCACCCTCCCCTGAAAGTAAAGATCAATTGAGACAGATTTTGGGAACCCTGGGGTTTTGGAGAAAACATGTACCTGGCTTTGCCATTATAGCCAGACCATTGTACAATTTGTTAAAGAAAAGTGCTGCCTGGGAATGGGCTCCTGCCCATGAGGAAGCCCTCAGGCAACTGATAGGGGAGATACACACCTATCAGGCTCTGGGTCCCATACATCCTGAAGCCCTACTCCATTTGTACCTAACTGTGGGAGCCACTGGAATGTCTTATGCTCTCTGGCAAGAAAGTGACACTGCTCCCAGACGACCAATTGAGTTTGGTTCCAAGTCATGGCAAGGGTCACAGGCTAACTACATGCCTTATGAGAAGGTGCTTCTGGCAGCTTACACAGCCTTGAGAGAAACTGAGGAATTAACTCAGGATAAGGACATCACAATTCACACTCCTCTTCCAATCATTAAACCTATATTGGAAGGGAAAGAGTTACCACCTGGTGTAGCACAAAAGATGACTATCCAAAGATGGGCACTTTACATACACCACAGGGTAGGGAGTGCAGACACTGCACAAAACCCCACTATGATTCAGGAATCCCTATGGAAAGTAGGAATGCCTGATGAATACCGCCTACCTCCACAGCAGTCTCCCATTAAGGATGCTGCCCCATTTGATCCTTCTAAGCCTGAGGGAGTATGGTTCACTGATGGCAGTGCCAGGCTGGTTAAAGGAAAATGGAAGGGAAAAGCTGCAGCAGTGCCTGCAGACCCCTCTGCAGCACCCCTAACTGCTGAAATTGATGGGTCAGCACAACTTGCAGAATTAGCTGCAATTAAACTGGCCTGTGAAGCAGGAGCCACCGCAGTATATACGGACTCCTATGCGGTGTGGGCAGGTGCCACTCAGTGGATCACGAACTGGAAAAATAACCACTGGGAAATAGGAGGTAAACCAGTCTGGGGACTGGAATACTGGAAGTGGTTATATCAGCATGCCCTGCAACAACCCCTGTCTATAGGACATGTCTCAGCTCATCAGAGGAATAATACCCCAGCTGCACAGTTAAACAATTTAGCCGATGCAGCTGCCCAGCTCTTTACCACACAAGTAGAATGGGAACGCTTATATTCATGGTTACATGATAATTTAGGACACACAGGAAGTGATGAGTTAGTGCGGCAAGCACATATCGGGGGTGGCCTATCACCCACAGACAGGCTAGAGACCTGGTGCAAGCCTGCACTATTTGTGCTGAGACTAGAAAACATATAGCAGAAGGACAAAGGTTTGCCAGGCTAAGAGATGGAAAAACACTATGGGCAACCTGGCAGGTCGACTATGTCGGACCACTGCCCACTACAAGGCAGACGTGGAAATACATCTTGACTGGGGTAGAAATTGTTTCAGGGATTGGTTTTGCATATCCAACCCGACTGGCAACAGGGTTGTCCACAGTTATGGGACTAAACCGCTTAACAGCAATTGTCCCAATGCCTCAAGAAATCCAATCAGATAATGGTTCGCATTTTAAGAATAAACTTGTAAGGGAATGGACCCTTAACCATGGAGTCCAATGGACCTTCCACCTTCCATATCGACCTCAATCTAATGGCATGGTCGAGCGCTGGAATGGGTTGCTAAAGAATCACTTGAAGCCTACTGATGGCACATGGGGAGACAGACTGGACGAAGTGGTGCAGAGATTAAACAACAGACAGACTCCTACAGGAAGTCCAATCAGCAGGGGATTCTTCCCTACAGGGAAAGCTATCTCCCCTGCCAGAACACCACTGCACAGTTCCAAGTATGCTCCCGGAGACACTATTGTGATTAAACACCCAGCCCTGGGTACCTTTACCTGTGTTTTGCACGCCTATAAAGAGAAAGGTGTATGGAGTGCCTTAAATGCTGATAAAAGGCTAATAACCATTACAGAGGCTTGGATCACATCCAAGACCGGCTGACCATGTGATTTATTGCAGGAATGGTCCCATGGTTCCGAGCAACCTGCCAGCTAACCTGTCAGCAAAATGGACCATGCAGCAGACCTGTTTGATCACTAGAGACTACTATGGACTGTTGATATATTTGCCATTACTTATAATAGCAGGTGTAATTTTTGCTTTTGGTTTTAAAATAAGTTTTTTAGCTAGAACACAACCCACCAGAGATATGTTCCTGCAAGCCCTCATGATCCTTCTGTTGGCTCCAGTCACCTTGGCAATACCAGAACATCCTCTTCGGGGAGCAATCCAAACCATCGCCTCAGCTGCTGGTGCTACAAATTGCTGGATGTGCACCTTGCTAGATTCAACCAATGGACTGGGACTTGAATTTGTACCACTCAGCCTAAATGACTGGTGGAACAAAAGCGACATCTTTCAGTGGGGACCAGCATGGTACACCAACAACCCTCACAATGACTCGGGGGAGGTGGGACAATGGCATCGCACTGTTTGGGGACAGCCTGTGGAATATGTAACGGGATCATCTAAAGAAGTATACCCTATTTGTTTTGAAACTCAGGGTGACATACAAATGGGTAGTCTAGATAAGCAGCAATGTGCCCATACAATTGTATTTGATCAGAAAAGTGGGGGTTGGACTACCTACCCACCCATGAGCGACAAAAGGACTTTAAAATGTTGGAAAGGTCCCATCAATGGCACACTTGAACATAGACCCCTTTTTAGCATACATAATGCCACAATTGTTCCCCTGAATATGAGTAGATACCCTGAAAGCAGAGATTGGTATGACCAATCACTGTTCTTTATTCCCAGTTCCGGACACATTTATAACCCATTGCTAATCAAATCTATTAACTCCTTATTAGATCAGTGTAATGAAAATGGACTTTTTCGCTCAGATCAAATTTTAGAAGATTTGTTAATAGTTTTGCTCTGTACTAACATTAAGATGGGATATTGTGTTCCATATCACCAACCCATACCTAAACCTGAGGGGGGCAGGTGGCACAGAGGACCTTATTCACCTATTCTTAGTAAAGAACCTGGCTTGTTCTTTATTTGTGGGGACAAGGCATATAAATATCTACCTGTAGGTTGGACTGGAAGGTGTTCACTGGGACATGCAGTACCCGAGGGACTAACAGTACACCCTCATGTTAATGCCCCCAGAATAACAAATCTGGGAAGTTTTATACATCGGTCCAAACGAAAGTTCACCTATAACCCCCTGATTGAACGGCCCTCTGGTTTTCACCGATTTACACGTGCACTTATACCTTGGTTAGGTATAACTGAGCTCGAGATGGCAATAGCAAACGTTTCTGGACAATTGGAAATTGCTCTGAATCATACTGCTGATGCATTAGGGCTTTTAAATGAACAACTTCAGTCTGTGGCCCGATATGCTCTGCAGAACAGAATAGCACTGGACGCTACCCTAGCCCAGCAAGGAGGAGTGTGTGCTGTCATCAACCAATCTTGTTGTTTTTATGTAAATCATTCAGGGCAAATAGAGCAAGATGTGGTTGCTATTAAAGGTGCAGTTAAAATTTTACATGCAGTGGCTGAGAATGGACAAACCTCATGGATGCAATGGTTAGCTCAACACTTGGGATTTTCCCTCCCCCCGTTTTTACATTCGGTTGTGAATACTGTTTTAACCATTTTAATTATTGTAATTGTTTTTTGTGTAACTTTATGTATTATGAAGCGTTTGATTCAAACTGCTCTTTCCTCCACGCAAATCAGATACCTAGAGCTAAAAAGGGATCCTAACCAATTCCGCGAACCCTCATCCTCTAATTTGGTTGTTGGGTATTTCTAGATTTCCCCAAGGAGGGCAAGAGGTGCTGGCATCACCGCCACCTTGCAATCTGGGATGTAGTGTGGTGCATCAGGGGGTGGAATGTAGCCAGACAGCCAGCCCCCCCCCCCAGACCAGCATTGCTGGAAACACAGGAGGAAGCAGGAACAGGGCACTTAACATATATTCCAGCACAGCCTTTGAAGCACAGGTGTGCTGCTACAATGTGCCTCTGGGAACAGATACGACGATTAAGCTCACAGCAGGCAGAGGCCCTGTGACAGACATGGCTCTTAGCCCCTACTAAGTAGCGTGATGCACACACACCAACATCCTAGGTGGGAAAATATTTACCCTGATAAAAGAAATGTCCAGTAGTCGAAACTTATTGTTTCTCTCCCTTGCAAGTGTAAACTACTCTTGCAAAAGCTGGCGTCACCCCGACAGACCAGCCTCAATTTGGCATAAGAAAGGAGAAAGAGAATAAAGGAGTACAGAGGTATAAGTAGGGGACCTACAGCACCATGATTTTTGAGTGCTTTTCACTATCTATCTGCTGGTCAGATAAGTGACAGCCTCCCAAGGCTTCTGCAGCTAAGAGGGTCCCTACGCCTTGTCCCTTATTCGTCTTTCCGCGGAATTGAGTGACCGATCCTGGCCTGGCACCGCTGGAATCGAGAGATGCAAGGAGGGTAAGAAGCACCCACACCTGATCTCCTATCTTTAGTGTACACATATTTTGAAATAGAGCTCTATACTTGGTTTTCTTTCTTTGGGATTGTGGCTTCAGTTTTGTAACTTGTTTGTGTGTGTAACATCTCTACATTTAAATAAGTAGGCCCTAGCAATTTTGTAACCACATGATTAGAATCTAGCTTAATAAATTTGGTAACCATTTATGCATAAGCCTGACTTGTTTTCTCTGGTTTACTGTAAAGCAGCCAACACAATTAAAGAACCTCAGCCGTTTTGGCTCTAAAGCCTGGCCATTAGGTGAGAGTACTAAGAGCCTAGCGTTGAGTTGTGCCGCCTCCACGGGGCAAACTCTTGGGGCACCTGTCAGTCAATCCTGGCTGCCCGCTGCGAAGGAGCTCTGAGCTCTAGCAGTTAAAGTCACGGGTGTGGAGAGGCTCTTAGTGCTGCCATTGGGGCACCTGTCAGTCAGTATCCTGGCTGCCCGCTGCGAAGGAGCTCTGAGCTCTAGCAGTTAAAGTCACGGGTGGTTAGGACCTTGGGGCATCCGTCAGCCTAGCCCGGGCTGCCCGCCGCGAAGGGACAGTGCGTCCTAGCGGTTAAAGTCACGGATGGTATAAACGGGCATAGCTGGCACCTCACCAAACATCCTTGGCCGTCGGCTAACATGCCCCCTCCCCACACACCCTGTCCTGCTCTCCTTCTGCTCCTTGGGTCAACCCCCCCATCATTTTTGTGTTTGGCCAACGGCGGTGGGGGGAAGGATTAAGAAGATCCTGGCTCTCCCGCCATTTATTTAAGTTTTTGGAAACATATTTTTAATGGAACACCCACCATTTGAACCCAAAATGTCCCCGTTGCCAAATGGTTGAAGCCATCATTTAAATATCTATGTATCTATCTATCCGCATGCACTCTCTCCCTCTATCTATCTATCTATCTAAACAGAAATCTAAATTTTGACCCACAAGTGTTCTTGGTCCAGTTTTTCGCTCTGTGTGCCGGGGGGCAACCTGTGGCCTATTCTGGGACCTCCTACCCCCCAGGCTGGGCAGACTCAGGAGTCCAGCCCCACAGGGCAGCCAGGGGCTGTGTGAGTCTGAGCTCATTCCCCAGGGGGGGATGGTCAGGTCTGGACATTGACCCGGCCCGTGGCGCTTTGCCTGGGCTGGACCAGAACCCATCCACCCTACAGCGGGCCAGCCCCCATTAAGGTCTCGCTCTGTCACCGGGGAAGGCACGCGGCTTCACCATCTCCTGGGACCGAACCTCAGCACCTCCAGCCCCCTCCCTCCAGCGACTCCACTTGAGACGGGCACCTGAGGGAGACGTGAACCCCCAAAGGGGCACTGCCCCCCCAGCATGAGCTGGGGCTCCCAGCTGGTGGGGGAAGGGCAGGCGGGTTTCTCAGGTGGCTACACCCAGCATGGCCAATCCTCGGTCAGCCCAGAGAGCCGGAAGCTACAGCCTGGGCCAAGTGTGTCCGCCCTTGGCTCCCGCTCCTCCAGCTGGCTTCCTGCAAGGGGGGGTCACCCTGGGCATTAGTTGCTAGGTCAGAAATGTCCCGGCAGGTTGGCTTTGCCATTGTCTTCATGGACTCGCCAGTGACACTGGCCCCAAATCGAGACAGCCAGGGATCCTCTGGGTGGCAGCCTGCGCGAGAGAAAACAGCCCTTTTCCAGCCCCTAGGGGCCAGCGCAGCACATATGGGAAACTGAGGCACACACGGTCTTCATACAAAGTAGTGGAGACACTTTCCACTGCGCTACTCCATGCAGGTGCAACCTAAGACTCACAGGAAACATGCGTGAGCAGAAGCTCCCATGACTGCCGGCTGGCATGGACACAACCACGAGACTGAGTAACTCCCCCGCCCCACGTGTCTTGAGTTTGAAGGAACACACACACAGAGAAGGGCTTGTCTCCTCCAACACACACACACACACACACACACACACACACACACACACACACACACACACAGAGCAACTATATGTCCAAAGGGTTCCTATGTCACTGTGCATCAGATAAGCGCCTCCACCCCCAGAGATTCCCCTCATGTGACTGGGGTATGTGTTCCAGCCTGCCGGGTGAAGTGGTGTCTGGGGCGGAGCAGGAGTGGAGTATGGGCGGGGCCACAGGTGGGCTGGGGAACTAACATCCCCGAGTGACAGTTTCACCCACCGCCCATGACAGCAGGTAAGAGCAGGTCGGCTCCCGCACACCCAGTGTGCTCTCCAATCTCCTTAGGAAGGGCTCATATTCACAGAGCCGAATGCGTCGGTGCACGTCTCCCCCTGAAAGATGGTACAAACAGGTCGTCAATACGTAGGCTGGGACTCTCCTCCAGCTTGGGACCACCCCCGCAGTTCAAAATCTTTGTCCACCAGACATGTTTCCAAGTGTTGAGTAGTGGGGGGAGTGAGGCCAAGTGATGATGTCTCTTCCCTTCTTTATAGTTTCTTGAAGCTTGCTGAAAAGATCTATGCTGCTACATGGGGGTCAGTCAGTCCCCATAGGTCAAGCAGTCTCCATTGCTTACGTGAGCTCTTTGAGAAGTCTCCACTGCATACAGTCTCTGGGATAGTGGATTCTTTCCTTGGTGGGTGTTGACGAGCCATGAACTGCTGTCCGGCAACATCATTGTTGTGCCTGAAAGGCTGATTCTGGGTGTTCCCAACCTCACAACATATTTCAGTAACACATCCAGCAATACTTAACAACTTCACATACAATGATAGCACATATCTGCAGAAAAGGACCTAGGGGTTACAGTGGACGAGAAGCTGGATATGATTCAACAGTGTGCCGTTGTTGCCAAGAAGGCCAATGGCATTTTGGGATGTGTAAGTAGGGGCATTGCCAGCAGATCGAGGGATGTGATCATTCCCCTCTATTCGACATTGGTGAGGCCTCATCTGTGTCCAGTTTTGGGCCCCACACTACAAGAAGGATGTGGAAAAATTGGAAAGAGTCCAGCGGAGGGCAACAAAAATTATGAGGGGACTGGAACACATGACTTATGAGGAGAGGCTGAGGGAACTCGGATTGTTTAGTCTGCAGAAGAGAAGAATGAGGGGGGATTTGATAGCTGCTTTCAATTACCTGAAAGGGGGTTCCAAAGAGGATGGATCTAGACTGTTCTCAGTGGTAGCTGATGACAGAACGAGGAGCAATGATCTCAAGTTGCAGTGCGGGAGGTTTAGGTTGGATGTTAGGAAAAACTTTTTCACTAGGAAGGTGGTGAAACACTGGAACGCGTTACCTAGGGAGGTGGTGGAATCTCCTTCCTTAGAAGTATTTAAGATCAGGATTAACAAAAGCCCTGGCTGGGATGATTTAGTTGAGGATCGGTCCTGCTTTGAGCAGGGGGTTGGACTAGATGACCTCCTGAGGTCCCTTCCAACCCTGATATTCTATGATTCTATGATTCTATGACGCTGATCTATGTCAAGGCCTGTGTAATGTGGTTGGGTCCTTGATCTCTGCCAGGGTCCCGTGCAGCAGCCGGCACAATGGGGGCCCTGATATGGGCAGGATCTGTGCAGAGCTTGGCACAATAGGGTCCCAGATCTTGGATGGCGACTGCATGATGCCCAATACAATGGGAGCCCTGATTTCAGTCTGGGTCTTTCCCGCGCCTGGCACAATGGGACCCATATCTCAGTAGGCGCTGCTCTGGTGCAAATAATAATAAAAGTTGTACCCTGGGAGGGTTTGGAAGCATCTGGCTGTTAAACCCCAACCGGAGAGTAAATTCTTAAATTGCTCCTGTCACATTTTTGTTTTATTCCTGAGCTGCAGTTTGAGCTACTGCTGCAGAGTTTATACACGGATTTGCTTGTTGAGGCTGAGCTTAGGACTGGCCAAGTGTCTGGGAATCACTGACACTGCTTAGACTAAACTGGGGCATGTGGACTGTAGTTGCATTGAGCTCTGACAGTGGTTGGTTCATATGATGCTATAAACCACTTTTTTGCAACAGATTTACTGTGTTCTGCAATCAGTAACTGTAGTGAGGCCATATTGGAAATCCTGGGACTTCTAAAGGCCCCTCCCCCAGCCTAGCAGGAAGGACCACTGGACCCAGGAACCAAATGAAGACGGGGGACAGCTAAGGAATAACAGGGACAGGAGTGAAAGTCATAGGTTCAAAACTAGGGGTACAGAGGGGTACACCAAGCAGAGAACCCCGGACAGTGCCCACTGCTCCTCAAAGTTGTCAAGGGAGCTTGCAGATGCCACTCAGAGGAACTCTGCCCAGATGTATGAGACCAGGGAGGAAAGGAAATAAGCCACACTGATACGGAGCACCTCCTCATCTAGCATCCTTCTGCTGATATTGTAGATGGTGCCTTTGGCCAGGGCCTGGAAGAGGTTCATAGAATCAAATAATAGAATATGAGGGTTGGAAGGGATCTCAGCAGGTCATCTAGTCCAACGCACATTCTGCATGAGGGAGAGGGTACGGGGGTCTCTGCGGGGAACTGTGACTCTTCGCTGCCATGAGGCGGGCCGGGTGGCTCGGTATCCTTTACTGCCTTGTCTCTCCCCCCTGGGCTGTGAGCCCGGGCTGCCGTCGGGCATAGGGGCACCAGTTTAACAATACTGCATAGGGCCCCATAAATCCTAAGGACGTCTCTGCTGAAGATGTTGCATCCAGCAGGGCAGCCAGTGGAGAGGAGTGGTGAGTGAGTGCCTGGGCAGCAGAGTGAGAAAGGGGCCTCTTTACCCTAGCCCCTGGGTGGGAGGTGAACTCTGCAGATGCACCTCTGAACTCTGGGGCTGCACTGACCAAGGACAGCAACTGTGAGTGGGGTGCAGAGAAGGGACAGGCAGGCTGAAGGGACTTTTGGGTTGCTGAACGTGAAGGAAAAGGACACCGGCCAACCCACTTGGAGGTGGGTCTTTTGCTCATGGTTTATGTGCATGAACTCTGTTTGTGGTGTTTTCCCAAATTAATGTCAAGTTACTTCCCTCCTTTTATTAAAAGTTTCTTTGCTACACTCAGACTCTGTGCTTGCGAGTGGGGAAGTATTGCCTCTTAAAGGC